TTCTTCTACTGCCCCCTTGCCCAAAGTATACTCTCCTGGCTCCAGTCTCTTATGTTTTGTTTCTCTTCCATGTGCCCAGTGTTACTCCTCCGTCACGTTCTCTTCGGTTTCAACTCTCATGAGCTGATTGCCACCCCCCGTATCTTTGTGTACCTTCTCAATCTGTCCAAATTCTGTATCTGGCAATCCCGGAATGACTTCCGCTTCCGTAACACCCGTCCTGGCGCTGTGACGGTCATGGCTAACATTCTGTCTCGTCTCAAACATCACCTTCCCATCTTCTTCAAACGCTTCAAGTCAGACAGACGCCGTCACTTTTTTCACCGGCAGTGGGGCGCCCGTGGAACCATAGCTTCTGTTGTAAACAGCTCTCTGGTTTTTTCTATCTGATTGCCTTACTCCTCTCTCCGTAGCTTGAGTGAGTATGTCCAGCTTGAGTGAGTGTGTCTGAGTCACTTGTGCTGGGACTCCTTTACTGGTGTACTGCTCAGTGACTCCTTCATGTTCTCCGTTTTCGTCTCGTAACCCCTTGTCTGCAGTCTCCTTTATTGGTGCACTGCACAGGGGCTCTGGTATCCGTTCTGTCTCCCTTGTGCTGGGTCTCCTTAGTTGGTGTACTGCGCAGGGACTTTTTCATCCGTCCTGTTATGTCTTGTAGCCCATGTCAGTGTGTCATTTTTAATGCGTGTGTGTGTATGAGGTGGGGTTCGATTCCCCAACGAAGTTGGTGTCTGGTGACCCTCAGTTTGTGGTGGACCCAGCTCGTATGCCTTGCATCCCCGCCTCGGGTTCGATCAGACGTGTGGTCGGCAGGCATTGCACCACCCTCACGGGAGCCTGGCCGTCCGCCTCAGACACAAAAAAAATCTTTCAAAATCTTTAAATCTCTGAGAACACAGCTCTACTACCCTCAGTAGAGGACCTTTGGTTTACAATCTTTTTGCTATAAGATTAATGTTAGTTGGTAAGCCGAGTATTCGGTAATAAGTTTTGATGGTAGAGTCAATATTATACTAATTTGCTACAGGACTATTTGAATATTCTCAGATGCGGTTTGAGATTGATCGAGCACGGGATGTCGCTGGTGAACCATCAATAGCAGATATGATAGCAATAGCCATCAAAATTCTGGAGAAATGACTCCCAAAGGATACTTCTTGTTAGTTGAAGGTACCACGTTTTATATTTTAACCTTTTTCGAGCTTGTTCTCTAAAGTGAACTAGTTTCTACAATGACTAATACTGTTAGTCTGCCGACGCTAAAGGACGTGCGTTCCTACGCCCGTGAGAGGACTTGACACGAGTCGGGAGGAGGCTTGCTGGGGGTCTGGCACGAAAACCCTTAGCAGACCTCTCGCCGGCTCACGTTGCACGACGTTCTCGTCAAAAAAGAAAGCAATAAAAAAGGAGAAAATAATGAGACTTGTATTCTACGTGCGTCCATTTTAAAAGACGCTCTTTCGTCTTCATTTAACCAGTAATGTAAGCTCTTGCTAGGGCAATCTTTTTCCTATGAAATCTTTTTTGGGCTATTTTTTTCATTTTCTGTTGCTTGTAGCAAACCTTCCTTCTTTTAACATGACACGCTAATATCGCGCTCCCTGACTGAGCACCTGGTCTTAGCTAGTAGCTTGTAAAAAGACTACCAGAAGCGTAATTTAAAAATACTGCATCTTAGCATTAATTATCACAGTTTATTTTGATATTTCACCAAACGGTAATACTTGATTTAAACTGTCAAACAGCTTTCTATGCTTGCTTTAATTATTGGGCTCACGGTTGACGCATAACCCACCTGAGCTTTACCACAGATGGGCTGATACTCGGCTTCAAATCAAGCCATTTACTGTGAGTTATGATAAGAATCTTGTGGAACCTAAATTAAAAGTAAATGTTATAAATAATTTCCTCAAGCTCCGGTTACTCTTTTTTATAAGTAAGTGGGCAAGCACCAACCGCCCTTCGATGATGGCGTCTCTCGTAATGTTTTCTAGAGTAGAGAAACCTCATCTGTGGGTGTTCTGTTATGGATTGTGTAACTTATTTTTTTATTCTATCGACTACCTTATTTTGAATATGTACGTTACCTTACTTTTACATCTTGTAAGTGGTTGGTCTGTTGTCTGACCGACTCTTAACGACTCAATAATTAAGGATGATGATGATAAAGGGAAACGATAAACCCTCTCGACCACACCTATAGCTGAAAAACTCTTCCCTTTGATCAAAAACAGATCTAACAAAAGAATAGACTGAAACGATAATAATATCTGTTTTAAACTTCCTTCAACATAAGAAAGAATCCGTTGGAGTTTTTTTTAGCAGTATCTTGATGGCTTTTTCAGTCATCTCTGCTGTTAAACTAATCGCAGCCGTAAAATACCAGCCAATCACAGCGGAATATTATGCGTCGTAGGACGAAGCGAATTGGTATACCTCACAGCCTGCAGAAGCTAAGACGACGGTGGAAACGCTGCGATCCATGCCGGAAGTGACTAGCTAAAACGAGTCGCCGGACGCTACGGGTCTGTTACATAGTTGTAGCCACTTTTCTAACAAAACAAAAAACAATTCTCTTGTGTGGAAGCTAAACTTACCAACTATTGTGATTCCCTCCGTGCAAAACAAAAGAAAATTATAAACAGAACTCTTGTAATGGGTTTTGAACCGGAATTGATGAGGTAAAGCTTTTATCAACCATTTAATATACACACGATACAAATATGTACTTTTACATAAGTCATATTTTTCATTTTCTACCTCATATGCTATACATTTTAACTAAGGCATCGCGGTGCCACTCTGCGAACAAGCATCTACTTCAGTCAAATGTAACTGTTACATGATTATAACTGGAGTTTAAACAAAACTGATCGCTTTCCTACAAAGCAATCGCAAAAAACCTCACTTTTCAATAGGAGCCCACTGCACAGATGGCTGGT